AATGTGAACAAGTGCTGCAGCGGCTGACAAAGTAATTCCTGTTTGTAAAGCTACTGTGATGTTTACAAGACTTGACCTTATGTTGGGATATAGCTAAATTTGCACAAATTGCTACCTCTAAAATAGAGGTAGGTCAAAAAACAAATCCTCTGAAAAAGTAAATAAAAGATAACCTGTGATGCTAGGACTTAAAAACTGTTCCAGCTGACAAAACTTGCTATTGCTGCTCTTGGTCAGCCTCAAAAGATTGCTAAATGAAGGGGTATTATTTTAAGGTCTGTTGTTCCATAGGCCTAAGCAGAAGGATGTTTGGTGCCCTTAAAGTTAAAAAAAATTGGCATTGTCAAATGGTGTAAGAGGTAATCAATCTGTAGAGACAGTAAATTACTATTAGGATTTTCTCTCTACAAATCCTCTCAAATTTTTACGACTGGTTTTTGTAGATCAAAGTATTGCTTCTATCTCTTGCTCTACTCACTTATGTAGATAAAATTGGCATTCTTTTCATGCATGGGTATATTGATAAATCTAGTACATACCTTTTATAACTACATTTAACTCTTAATTTTTCAGGTTACAGCTCTTACAAAGTTAGAAGGGGTTTGCCTGTTAAAAGTTCTTCTGGAAGAAATACTCATCTGATAATTTGATCCTTTTTTATGCCCTATACACAAAAAGAAAAAAAAAAGTCTTGTGCAACAACTGTTAACCTCAGTTTTTCTAAATGTGTACTTTACAATTTTTGTTTCTGATTTGGGCAGGGAAATAGGAAATAACAACAGAGCTTTATTACCTTGGTTGTTCCTGCAGAAGCAGAAGTACAACAAATTGTGTTGCCCAGTAGAGGGAGTGAAAGCATCACCATTACAGGTAACGTAATCCTAGGTGAAGTATGGAATGGGGTTAATGAGTTTAGGGTTAAATTAGTTATTTGGTCTTAAGAGACAGTGGAGAAACTGAGTATTTGACTTCTTGTAATGAATGATGAATTGTTGCCTTTCATGTAAATACCATGTGGAAATATTTACAGGAAGCAGAATAATCACAGTTAACTGGATAGTCTACCTTTAAAATGCATATGCAGTCCCTACAAGCTTGTGTTGTAGGTTAATACGAACATTCTTCAATAGAGGCAATATTTTGCTCTTTAAATAATAGGAGTTATTAATACTTTCTCATTATTGTTGTTAGCTCTCATATATCAAAATCCATGAATATCTTCCATATGAACTAAATGTCCTGTGTCCATTTGCAAATACATTTAACTGTATGAGGGTTGTTTGAGGAGAAACTTGGCATGTACACATCAGTGCTATGTAAATATCTTACATAACTTTATTTTAAATCTAGACTGAATATCGCAACAAATGTGAGTTCTTGATTGGGATTGGTGTAAATCAAGAAGACAAAACTGTGGGTTGTCGTCTTGGCAAATATAAGGGTGGTACATGTGCTGTAGTGGAGCCATTTGATACTATTCACATACAAAAAAGTAGTAAAAGCTTTCCAAGACTACATAAGGTGAGCATAAGTAAAATGAGTTATCTGTAAAGGTTTTGATGTCTTACTCAAAAGTATTTATAAAATTAAATATTATGAAATGCTTAGTGTTTGTTCTGAGCCTTAATACCTAAGATACACCTGTCCCAATTTTAGCAATTCTTCGATGTTTACATCTTGTGCCAAGATCACTGGGTATTTTTCCCTTGCTCTTGCTCAGCTGTTCTGAGATGGAGGGAAGATACCCGCCGAACCTAGCTTTATTGCAAGCAAGGAAATGTATATGTATGCAATAAAAAGAGTCTGTTATTTGAGAGCTCCTTCCGCTAACTGTAAAGAAATACTCAGAAGAAGGCTTTTAAAAAGTGGAATCTAAGTAACAAAGGTCAATTGCTTCCTTGGATGAAGAGAAGAATCCTCCTACAACAAGAAATAAAACAAAAGTTGCAAATTTAAGCAACAATCTTAAAGGAGTGGTTTCTTTAAAAAGCAATTAAATCCTCAAAAATGGAAACCTCAGAATAATGAAGATTAAAAGTTTGAACTTGGTACGGAGCACAGAAGCCAATGAAGGCATTATAAAAAGTTACGTCATTCTCTGAATGCGGTGAGAAGCTGCCTATATCTCATCTATAATTTTGAATGGGTTAAAACAGGTAAGAGGATTGTGAGAAGTAGGGACAGATTATTATCTATTAATCAGTCTCTTAATTAAGATGTGGAAGTCTATTGAACAAATCAATATAGACTGTTTGTAGGTAACATTTTTCATCACTTTGCATGGTGAGCGTCTTTTGTTTCAATAAACTGTTGAATATTATGCAAAAAAATAGCTCCCTGTTAAGTAACTGAGCTTCTGAAAATTGCAGGTCAACTCCTTACTCAGTTTACAGCCCAGAAACTTATGAAGGTCACTGGAAACAACTCACAGTCCGTACCAGCAGGAAATATTTTAATCCTCAGGTATTTATGTTGATATATAATGTGCAGTCCAGACACACAGCTTTAAAATTACGTAACTTTGATTTTATGAATAGTGCATGCAAAAGAGAAATAGAATAATTACTTGGTGTAGTTTACCTTGCATTACTACTCTTCAGGCTAATCTGATACATGGAAATGAACAAGTAATATGCTCATAGAAGGCATATATTAAATGATATCTTTAAGTCACTAAGATGATTATTCTCCTTTCTTTCAAATGAAACCTTTAGAAATTAAGTAAAGAAGAGCTAGCTGACCTGAAAATCTCTCTGGCAAAATACTTCACAGAAGGGATGGGAAAGGACAGTGGCGTTACTTCTCTGTACTTTGTGGAGGAAGGACAAAGGTAAGGGAATTGACTTTGCTTTGGGGGATTCTTGGTGTTTGCAACAGAACAGTTAGGTGGCACTTCCACACCGTTAGTTCATCTATTTCATAAAAGTAGCAGCAGTATTACTAATAACAGTTACTTATTTTTTTCCACAAGAGACTCCTGAAACTTCCTTTTCTCCTGTAGTGTTCATTGGATAAAGGCAGGTAGAGTTTCAGTGAGTGAACCCACTACTAGTTGCTGACTGTCAAGCTATAGAAATGTTTACTGCAGTAGATGGATATTTATTGTTATCAACAAGTAACTTCTGCCTCCTTTCTTCCCGATTTTATGTGATGTTTTAACCTCCCTATCCTCTTCTGCAGAGCCCAAAGCTCATGCTGTCTTAATCTAGAGACAACGTAGGTTCTACTGCACATCAATGGAACAATGGTACACCATAAGAAAAAAAATGGCTAAGATAGTATCTCAAAGGATATGATAAATGTTGGCCTGGTATAAATTACTGCTTAGTATGTAGTACTGCAGTTTTTAAGATGACTAAAGCTTTGGTAAAAATGGTTACATATTTGTCTTCTTTCCTTCCCTCCCACCCCCCCCGGCCCTGTATTTTGTCTCTCTGTGCTTTGCCCCCCATCCCCAGGAAATCTCCCAATCTGGAAGACTTGCCTGTGGAGCATGTGGCTGGTGATAAGTACATATATGAAGAACTTCTTGGCCTCAGATTTAGAATTTCTCCTCATGCATTTTTTCAAGTAAGGATGATATGAAGTTAATTTAACTGGGTTTGCACTAGTGCCCTTAAGCTTGGCTAATGCGTTGTAAAAAAATATTATACACCTAGAAACTTAATCTTTTATGTACTTGGTGTTATGTTCATCTGTAAAAATAGTGAATGAGTGTAAACTTGATGGGGACATGTTGAAAACAACTTTTTTTTTCTTTTTACTAGTTCAGTAGCATTTGCCTCCTGTTATGTACACAGAACATGCAATATGTAGTTCAGGAATCTTTGTAGTACTAACTTTTGGTTTTCAAAAATTTATTTCTTCCCTTCCAACATCTTAAAGCCACAGCAGGTAGCCCACATCATTGAAATGGACAGTATCAAAATAGGCAGTGTATTATCACATGGCATCATAAATACGCTGAAGCTAAACTGTACTTTTTATTATTTGCCATAGATTATAGGCTGCTTTTTTATTTCCATACAGTGTGCTTTGCTTGCTCTTTAAGACAAAGAATATGCTTGCTCTAGAGGCACTGGTTTAGAAAGCTTCTTATACACTACTTCCTGAACCATAACGTGCAATTACAGCATTTACTTTAAAGCAGTATTACAAACAAGGTTAAAATAAAGCTTGCTGAGTGTGTTGTTATGGTTATATTCTCCTGGTTTTGAATCTTTACTACTTCTTTTTCAAGGAGAGGAAATACTATTACAAGTCTGGGCTTCCCTTTAGTGCTTAGCATTTTGCTTAATTATTCTGATTGCTGTCTCCTCTAGCTTCCAGACTTACATTTTAGGTACCGTAGAACAAGTCATGTTTTTACTAGAACATGGGTAACAAAACATTACTTCTCAGAACAGAGTGAGACTTTAACAATGGAATGGCGATCTCTTAATGCGTGCTGGTCTACGTCAGTTATATGTGATTTTAACTTCTATGTGAAGTTGACTTGTTTCTTAGAAGCAAGAAAAAGAAAACACGCTTTCCTGAGACTCACTAAACCACATTTACCATTTGTGAAGGAGTAGACCTATCTGACACTTATCCCCACAGGTAAACACACAAGCTGCAGAAGTTTTGTATATGGCCATTAGGGAGTGGGCGCAACTGAGCCAGGAGAGCACTGTACTTGACGTCTGCTGTGGTACAGGAACTATTGGGATTTCTTTGGCAAAGGTGGGTAACTTCTCTTGCTGGATAGATCCACATCTGTTAAAAGTAGATTATATCATTGTACTTACAATGAAAGAAAATACTTGATGTACTTGAAATGAAACACATTATATCTTTTTTTAAAAAACTAATTTCTAATTAATTTGCCTGCAGCTGTTTTATGAAATCATTATGAAAACTCATCCTTATGTCGAGCAGCCTAAATTATTTTGAAACTAATTCAGTCAAAAGAGGCTGTAGTTCTGTAGGATAGCCAAAATTCATTAGAATCCAATCTTAACTAATGAATAAAAACATATCTCACACAATTTTTAGAGCGGAGCTTGCTAGAGCATATAAGGACGACTGGCCCCCCAAAAAAGAAAGAGGCCAGCATAACTGGAGTATGTCACATACAGGCTGGGATAAATGGTGTTCATCCCACAGTTTCAGTCTAAAAGTCCCTATTTATTTGCACAGGTGCCTTCTCAGCCTTTTTTTGGCTGCAAGTAGTTCTCTGACAGGGTACTAGTCAGCATTCATATATAGCACTTAGTTGCTGCTGCTGTGAATAATGGTTCAATTTAATTTACATACCACAGAGATCTTTTTTTCTCTTCATTCTATAGAAAGTAAAGAAAGTGATTGGAATTGAACTCTGCCAAGAAGCTGTGCAGGATGCCAAAGTGAACGCCCAGATTAATGGTTAGTTAAGCTAAAATGCAACAATCTTCGTTAAGAAGCATAGTAGTTGTATAGTTAGTTATCTAAGAAGCTTGAATTACATGCTGTTGATAGTAATCTTATCCATTTTAAACATTTAATCTCTCTTGAAAACAAATACCATGTTAATCTGTGAGATCAATTTTCCTGTTAACTAACAGCTAGCTGCTTCTCCAAAACGAAAACACTTCAGCGTAAAAGTGAGCTGAAGCCACAGTTGCTCTCATAAATGAAACGTTAAGGGTAGCTATTTTTTGTGCAGTTTTGATTTGGTCCAGATAATGGAAGATGTTCAAGTTAATGTTGTTTAAATTATCTGAAGTACCAGCAGTTGTTTAAATTACACTGATTTCAGGGTAGACAAAACAATCTGTAGTTTCTAAGGCATCAGAACTTAATGTCTAATTTGAGTTTACTGAAAGATGCTTTGACTAGGTGAGCACTCTTGTAACATCTTTTCTTTTTTTTATAGAACTGAGTAATATTGAATTTCATTGTGGAAAGGCTGAAGATATTGTTCCTTCCCTAATTAACGTGTTAGCTCCTCAGAACCTGATTACTATTGTAGATCCGCCACGAGCAGGGCTGCGTAAGTTTACTTTCTCTTAAGTTTTAAGTCTGTTCTTTTAGCTGGTGTTTAAAACACCTATGGAATAAATTAAGCAGGAAGCTTCGGGTATAGCCTGCAGCAACTGGGTAGTGCAGCAGTTTTGTTCACGCTGGAGAATAACTGGGAATGTTGTGGCAAGTCTGTTGCTGCAGACAGAGCTAGTAAAGAGCTGTTTTGGTTTTGATCATCTAGATTCCAAGGTTATTCTTGCCATTAGAAGAGCTGAACATCTGAAGAAGCTTATCTATGTATCCTGCAATCCCAGAGCCGCAATGAGTAACTTTGTGGAGTGAGTAGTTCTTGCATTAAGTAAAGTAAATGTAAGAAGAAAAATATGTGCTACATGGGGAGGGGGACTATCGCTAGATTTTTATTTTTAAGCCATATTCATTGAGGTTTACCTTTCACCAGAAGCAGCTGACAGCTTGGAACACAAGCAAGCTTGTGAATTGTATTACCCAATATGCAAGTAATAATGGCAATATTAGGGGTGGTGAATAACCCTAGCATGGAGTTGAGGGTTGGGGAAGAAAAACCTTTCTTAGATGAACAGTATACTAAAATGTTAATACAGTTCTTCCTCCTCTTTCTGTCCCCTTCCCATCAAGCCTCTGCCGTGCTCCTTCCAATAGAGTCAAAGGAGCCTCCTTCCGTCCTATTAAAGCGATGGCTGTGGATCTCTTCCCTCAGACCAGGCATTGCGAGTTACTGATATTCTTTGAAAGGCTGGAGTATGCCAACGGGAGCTCGGCTGAAGCAATGCCCAATGCTACTGAAGTCACAACAGCAGGACATGACTCAGAATGCTTGGATGGCACCAAGGCATCTAACACTGATGCAAACCAGGCAACTTCTGTACATATAGATACTGCATTTGAAGAGACGGAATCAACGTGACTCCTGAGAGACACTTTCCAGAAACTACTTTTGCTTGTTAACAGCTTCAGTAACATTGTTTCTGTTACATCCAAGCAGTAAATCTCTGTACAACAGAGTAGTTGCAAGGCTTCCACGTTATTTCATCATACTAATTTGAGTTAAATTTCATTATGTACTATTAGGCAAAATCCTGGTTTTCTTTTCCTGCCCTCAGGGGGAAATTTAGGTGACTGAAGTAGTGTGTATGGTGGTCTCGCTCTTTAAACAGTTGAAATGTAGCTTTAAATAAAGTATCCCACAACTGTATTCAGATACAACTATTTGAAAGCTGGGCTCATTTTTAATGCAACACCATCCCTTCCAGTGTGAATAGAATACGCCATACTTAAAGTGTTAGTGAATAGCTGCTATTTACCTACAACTACTAAGCAATTGAGCAGGGAGGAGGACCCCGCAGACTGACTGAACGCAGTACCCAGTCCCAAAGCACGTAGTCTCGTTACAGAGAACCTGTAGCCGTCAGTATGAACTTTTTTCAGCTCTCCTAGCCTGTCTAAACAGTGCCGTGTCTTTTGAATAAGCTAGTAAAGTTTCAGCAATCTTAGACCTTCCGTAAATCACTTACTAACTTCACTAGGAAGCAACAAACTCTTATTCTAATAAATATGCTACAATTTCCATAGCTGTAGTGTCACTGACAATACAACTACTTTCTTAGATCATTTCCTACAACATACAAGTAAAGCCAACATGACTTCACTCTAGGCCTCCCCTCACCAGTGAAAGCTTACAGCCACAAATTAACTGTACAGACACCAGTCAGGGCCATCCATCTTGGCAGGAAGAAGTAAGACATTTTTCATTTTTGAGAAAGCAGCTCATTTTCCTCTCAGACTGTTAGTAAGTCTGCTCAGTGCGCACCTTTTGTCAAGTACCTCCTGTGTCACAGTCATCTCTAGGAAGTTGTGTAGCCTCACTGAGGCTTTTTGATCCTGTAGTAGCTTTAAAAAGGCTAACCTCAGCATCATGGAAAATATATTTATGGAAGTGATGTGTAATTCAGCGAGAGTAAGACAGCAACAGGAATATTACCTCAGCTTACTCAGTGTTTGAGGTTATAACTGAAGTAGGCTTTTGGACACAGTGTTTCTTTCTTTCTACCAAACCTCTGCCCTAGACTCAAAAGGATCTTCTCTCCAGTACTCGGAGCCCTGTGCAGTAAGAGAAAAAGGCAGCTGTATTCAATGCAAAACCTTAACGGGGTAAGCATCTATTGCAAACAGCCAGGTCACAGCAGCAAACACTACTTAATGACATCACCCAGCGCCTTAATCTGCACTTCCAATGTATGTCACTGGGTGCGAAGACAAACCTGGTTGAGACTCCTACCCTTGCGAAAAGTTGCTCTCTAGTCAGGATTCATACTTCTGTACAGATGCTCAGCACCTAGCATTAATTTAACGGACTGTGATCCATGCTAAAGAATAGACAATAATACTGACTGTTAGAAGGAAGAACCATTTTAAATCTCAAGTTATTGAACATACTTCTAATGTACATTTAATACAGACTGCACAAAAAATTTATTATTGCAGCACATAAACTTGCTGATAGCTCCTCCTTTCCAGTCAGGTAGGCCTGTGACAACAGGTACCAACACGCAACTTTGTGTTGTGTCATTTCCAACTGTGACATCATTTAAGTAAAATACAAATTGCAATTCAAGAAAAAGTTTTAATTTAACTTCATTCCAAGTGATGGCTAACCATGTAAACATTCAATTCCTTGACAAAAAAAGTGGTAAGTACTTTCATAAGAAATGCGCCTGCGCTGATTTAATTTCTATTTAAAAATACATACAGGAATCAAGGAATAAAAGTTCCTTTTTCTAAGTATGCTTAAGCTATCATAATACTGATCACACTGGAGCATTTTATAATATCAAACTTTATTGCTCAAAACTAATTGTCTGAAAAATACACATGTAGTACTCAAAGACCAAACACATAGGATTATATGATTGTGCAGAAAAAAAAAAGCAAGCAGAGGCTCAGTGAAAATGAGGCTTTATAGTTGTACCAATTTAGCACTGGCATCAAGCAACTGCACCCAACACAATTCATACAGCAACCATTGTTACCTACTTGGGCAATAAGAATGAATTTTGTTTTGTTTTTTTCATTTTCCTTTCTCAGATACGCATCAGAATACTGTAACAGATCATTTTATTTGGTTAACAACAGCATGGCTTCTTGCGCTTCACATGTCTTCCCATGGAAAGTTAGAAGGCTATCACTTCCTGAATTTTACTCCAGAACCAAAGTACAGTCTAGAGAGTTAATAAGGTAATCATGATGCTTTTAAATACTTTGATGTTACAAATATATTTGTAAAAAGCCTAACAGCATCACAGGAAAGTGGAAGTTTACCTATAACAGTTAAGTTTATGCATAATAGTCTTTCCAAACTTCTGAGTACCCAACTTCATGAGTTTTTGTTTAATAAATACGTAAGAAAAAGCTGGATGACTGGTGTTTTAAATAGGTAGCATCTGACTATTCACTAGAAGTCACAGTAAGTTTTCCATCAGTACCATAAAGATTTGAATGCACGCTAATTTAATCCTTAAAGTCAATATATCACACTTTTGTCAAGAAGCACATAATATGCAAAGCAAAAACTGTCTGATTTCCAAAGGATGGAACAGTTCTTAAAAATACACTCCATCCCTATAAAAATACCCATCCTCCTCTGGATATAGAAGGGATAAGTAACAAATATCAGTGACAAAAGCAGCAGAGTTGTTTTATGCATTCATACAATCAAGATCTAAACCTTTACAGCCGATTACCTAGAAAACACACAAGAGTTACAAGACAAGTTTAGGATACATCTTGAATCACACTGTAAGTGTTCATGCAGAAGCTGAAGTTAATGCAATGATCTATCCTCTATCACAGCAGCTCGTGCTTATGTGCAAATGCAAGACTGTTACACTCCAAACAATAGTAAACATTAAAACACAAGAATACTTCACAATGACATAAACAGCAGTTAAGTTGTTTGTTCCAGCAGTTATTGCGCTATTTTCTGGACATCTCTCCAGTTAAAGGCTGCAGCAAGGTCTAATACCATCTTTTTTGTTTGTTTTTGTTTAGAATGCATAATATACGTTCTAGGCTTTGGTTCACAATGAAATCTCTGGGTGTTTTAATTAAGGGCAATGGTCACCTTGTGATTCTGATAGTGGCAGACTGAGGTAATACAGCAATCCTCTTAAAAATAATGAAAACAAATTTGTAAGCGAGGCATCTATAGATATTCTGCAGGTGACCTGCAAATGCATTGACATTCTGATTTCAGAAAAATAAAAAGATCTACAAGGGTGATTTGTCTTTTACAGTGCCATCCAAGTACACGTTTTTCTGCTGAAAACACGTCAGCTGAAGTAAAACTTACCTAAAAGAGTAATACATTTAGGCATAGAAGATATAAGCCCTGTCTTTATGAAAAAAAAAAAAAAGAAAAAAACAACAAAAAGGGACAAACAGTAATAACTGCTTGTCACTACTGCACCAATATTATATACCCTTCAAAAGATGGAGATTTATTAAAGCTATAAAAAAAAAAGCAGAGGCAGTGTTTTTGTTTTTTAGATAGGCCACTTCTTTAAATAATAGTTTATGTATAGTCTTCCAACTACCCGTATCCTGTTATAACAGGATTACAACTCGTGGAACTGAAAAGCTAAATAGAATGATAACAAATGGGTGAATTCGTATTTGCAGAGAGCTCTGAGCATATCACTCAAACACAGAAACGGGTAAGACTCCAAGACTCCTGTTTAACCTCAAACTTTATATGCAACATATTAGAGAACATTAGTTTGAGATAGAAATTAGAATCTACATAGTTCCAAAACAATGGGTGATATTAAAAGGAAGTCTTATGATACTGACGCCAATATTGTTAAAATTCAGTAGGCACTAAATTCATTATACTGCAGCACTCAGTATGTAACATGGTAAAAAAACCCAACCAAAACCAAACCAGAATAAAACCCCTCAAGCCCCCAGATCACTGTCCCAGTAAGTACCAGGAGCTGCAGCAATTATAAAGAACTGACCTCTTTCACTCCTCCAGGAGTGTAAAATATAGCAGTACAGCTCTTGGATAAATCATTGAAGCCTTACCACCAGCTTAGTTTTCACTCTCTTCTTTAGGAGCAAACCAAAGAACCCACAAGAATGGATCTAAGAGAAGACTTACTGCAATCACCCAGTAACGAACCCCATACAAAGAACGAAACCCACAAAGCAGTGCTTTCACTACAGCCAAAACTATCTCTTCTGTGCTTAATTTAATAAAGCCTCTGATGACATAGTGAGTACTGCCTGTTTTCTAAGATTGTATTTTATAATAGTTGCATATTTGTGATTTTCTTATTTATCAGTATAACCTGTTATGGTCTCATTCTACTCATTACTCTATGTCATATTCCAAATCTACATTCTAATTTTCATTGCAGAAGTTAAACTTCTTTAAAAACTAAATCTGTAATTAAAAAAGTAAAACCAAAAACTTCTTAAAAAAAACTAAATTGCTGCAGTTATTTCCGATTTCTATGGGTTGTGTGGTGGTTTTTCTTTTTTGAAGTCTTTGCTTTTATGATGCATATTAAGACTTAATTAACCAAGTCAGATGTATTCTGACTCCAGACAAATGAGAAATTTTTATTGCTAGGAGAAGGGAGTGGAAGGTCTTTTAAACATCTCATTGGCAAAACATTTTCAGACTGTCAAATATTATTAGCTGTGTTTTCGCTCCAAGCTTTGAAAACAGCCTTTCAAATTACAGTTTTTATTTTAATCAAATAAATAGGGCCATATTTTCTCCTTTCAACTGATTTGTAAACTAGCATAGGCTCTTTTCAACTGAAGTAAAACCCAATAATTTTGGATATTCAGCCTGTTGCTCTTAACACTACCAGGTACACTTGTTCTTTTCAAGTAATAAAA